GTGTATTAAAAAAGTATTTCTAGATTTCAAGTGGATCTTTCAATATTTATTTGAAATTTTCTGACCAGGTAAATGTTTCAATAAATTTACAGATTTGGTGTTAACAATCTTTGTTGGTCCGTCTTTTTTCCACTTAATACATTTGTTTTTGCCAATAAAAAAACGGGTGTGGCAGTCCAGTGGGACTGCCGGTAGAAGTTATACTTCTATACACATATATTTAATACTATAGGTAAGAGAGAGCAGAAAGAGAAAAATAATTAGTTATATAGGTATATGGTGCATCGTTTGCTGTATATAAACATTTGACCTGCAATAGGAGAATAGTAAATGAAGGATTGTATCAATATTTTAATGAAAATATATATTTTTATTTTCATGTATGTATAAAAGGAGTTGAATGCAAAAAATTTTTGTACACATACTCTGCAGTAAAATTTATTGTTTATTTTGTTATTACTATAAAAATTACAAGACAATAAACACACTGCAACATAATTCAATATAATAATACAATATAAATTAAAATGCAATATTATTTTTAAATATTTTAAAAATAAAATAAGAAATTCATATTGCGATTGGGAATATATATATATATATATATATATATATATATATATATATATATATATATATATATATATATAATAATAATAATAATAATATTTACATAATATTAAATATATATACAAAAGGAACATTTTTATTCTCGAGAGAGAAAGAGAGAGAGAGAAAATATATCTTCTGTCTCTCTCTTACTCATTATCTTACATATGTAATGGTTTCAGAGATTCACTCCCATGCAAATTTCCAACGCCGACCGTGCGCATAGAAGTATAACTTCAAAATGCTTCTGTGACAGGAGATGCTTCATGTTTTCTCCAAATATCTTGTTCTCTCCTGCGAACGCTACCTGCCAGAAACTATATGTGCATGATAATACGCCGCGACCTTAAGAGTTATGTCAATGTTTGATGTTCTGTAATTCTGATTATTTTTATTGTTATTTGTAGTAGTTCTTCCTGTAGTTACCTGACTGTGTTGTCTTCTGTTCTGATCATTAGTTTGGATTTCCTTGAGTTTTTTTGACTCCTTGGACTCTCTTTGCGGTTGTCCAGGCAGGATAGGTTTTCAGATTTGCTTGTTTTAATTTTTTAAAGTTCCTTGGCGACTATGTCCATGATAATCAGCTCGATGCCATACGCTGCATTGGACGCATTTTGGAATGGCATTCTTTGGTTTATCATATTCTCTGGTGCTGTGGTTTCCAGTACATTTCACATATCGAGCTTGCTTCGCACATTGGGAGATAGCCAGAAGCCACATAGCCTGGCATTTTTACAGTGGGAGATTGTTAGTGTAAATGAATTAAAATAAGTATTAGAAGACTGTACATAAATTAAAGACTAAATAAATAAAAAATATAAAAGCATTGCAGTATTACAATCAAAGCGGTAATTTGTTTAAGTAAAATACGACAAACAGCACAAGTATTTTGTTGTCTTACAATTACTTTTTATATTAAATGACTCTCTTTTTTACCCATTGACATATTAATTGACTGCCATGAGTGGTTTCCCGTCTTATACTTTCGACAATAAGGTTCTAGATTGAAGGCAATTATATTTGTCAATTCGTATTAATTATACAAAGTTTCATGGACTATAGCACCCCTCATATTGTTTACAAAATTAAAAATTTCCCTGACAGTAAAATACTTTAATAAATATTTAATTAATAAAAGCGTTTAAATCAATTCAATTTCGTATTGATTTCTCTATTTCGTCGCTCGGATTGCAAAACACTATTTTTGTACTTTTTAGTAAATTTTTAGTCCTTGTTTATTTCTAGTTGTTCTATCTATCAGCACAGATACCTTTAAGGCTGCGTAAAGATACCATTTCTTCTTCTTAGGGTGCCTGTCCGTTCCGAAAGTTGGCGATCATTCTGGCTATGATGACTTTGTTGGTTACTATACGAAATAGCTGTGTTAAGGTCTTTCTATACTATGCTCTCAGATTAGCAAGCCAGGATATTCTTCTTCATCCTGGGGCCCGTTTTCCTTCAATTTTACCTTGCAAAATGCATTGAAGTAGCTCGTATCTGCCTTGATGTTTCATTCTAGTTCTTCTTTATAGTTTTTGGGCCTCCATTCCATAACACGTCTTGTCCACCGTCCATCTTGTGCTCTGGCTAAGTGCCCTGCCCAGTTTCACTTAAGCGTCGTGGTTCTTTCGATTTGTTAGTTTGTTATGTGGTCTCGAAGGCTCACGTTCAGCATTGCACGTTCCATGGCTCGTTGTGTAACTCTGAGTTTATTCTCAGATTTTTGCGTGAGTGTTAAAGTCTCTGCTCCATAAGTTTGTACAGGCAAAACACATTGGTTATAAAACTTTCGTTTGAGACACATGGGAATTGAACTTTTTAGAATATGGCTTAATTTGCCAAATGCTGCCCATGTTAGGCCTATTCGCCTCTGTATTCCATGTGTTTGATTGTCTCTGCTTATTTTGATTTCGTGTCCCAGATATTTGTAAGTGTCTGTTTGTTGTATGGTATTATTGTCAATAGTTATATTTCCACTCATTACGAAATTTGTTATAAGTTTAGTTTTCTTAAAGTTTATCTTTAATCCTGCTCTTTCAGACATAATTTTAAGCGGATGCATCATAGAAACTGTATCATGTAAGTTATCTGCAATTAATACATCATCTGCAAACCTTAGGTGATTTAATCTTTCTCCATCTATATTGATGGCCATATCTTGCCATTGAATGTTCTTAAATATTGACTCTAGAGCTGCCGTGAACAATTTTGGTGAAATATTGTCTCCTCCTTCTACTTCTACTTTTATTATATTGTTATGGTAGATATTTTCGATCATTCTAATTATATATAGAGTATCTCTCTTGCGTACCATAAGTATATAACGTGCTTTAATTTGATCCTGCCTTCTTAAGGTCCACGAAACATAGACATGCCGATTTGTTGTATTCTAATGATTTATCTTACACTTGCCTTATTATAAATATAGCATCGGTGCGTGATCTTCCCTACCTAAAACCTTGTTGTTCTTCTTCTAGTATTATAATTTCATTCAGTTTTTTGTTACCACTTTGGTTGTTAATTTAATCAAATAGAACAGGATGGAAGTTAGTCATTGTTGATCGATTTTTCACAAATCCATGTTGTTGTAGGGAAATAATTTGTTCTCGAAGCAAAAATTCTGAAAGACAATCTCTGATAATTGATTCCACAACTTTACAAATAACAGGTGTAAGGTTTATTGGTTTGTAACTGTTGGGATCTAATTTATTTCCTTTTTTAAATATAGGTGTTAGCAAAGCACTCTTCAAAATGCTAGGCAAAAATTGTGTATTAAAAGATGACCACATTATTAGTGATAATGGAAGAGCCAGAACATCTGAACATTTTTTCAAAAATAATATCGAAATTTTATCGATCCCTGAAGATGAGTTGTTGATTTTAGGAAACTGATTTTTACAAAATGTATCTGCAAGAATGTTAGCAACCTCATACGTGTTCTGACAAATCATTTCATCGTTCCTTATTAATAATGGAATGGACACTTTAGAAGACATAGAAGACTTATCACATTTGTATAGTATGTTTAGAGTCGTTGTAACTTACGATAGATTCTTCATATGCTATTCTGGCTTCATTGGTAGTGTTTGTTAGTATTATTGTGTAGTTTTTGTGAGTTTGTAAGTCACGTAGATCACCTATACGTTTCCATTTTTGCTAAAACTTTCTTTTGTATCTTATAAGTGATATCAGTTCGCCGTTAATCTTCTAAATATTTTGTTAAAACTCAGATACAAGGTTTTGCAGTCTGAGCGACAACACGTAGTCATTCACTATTATTCTGAAATATTTGGTATATTTGATATTTAACATAGGAAATAATTGTAGATAAAGACCATACTAACAGTAGTAACCAAAGTGGAAGATGTGACAGAACAAGTGGTAGAACTTAAAAATGAAAATTTGCACGTTATATCATGTGACAAAATAATACGAGATAAGAATAAGTCGATAATATTTTGGCAAAAGTGGAAATACAGGTAGGAGATGGGGTCAGATAAGATGGAACAATGATCTTAAGAAAAACGCTAGAACAATATTAATGACAGTAGCAGAGACGCACTTAGAATTTGTCTGAGTTTGAAATTTTTTTATGCTACCTCCATTTTGAGTCCCTAAAATTTGCGTTTGAGTTTAATTTAAAGTACTAAAGATAACAGTGCCAAAAATTCAGGGATCTATTACCCTGAATACCAACTAATACCATCCTCTCTATTCAACAGGAATTCAACAATTTAGAATTTCCCATTGTGTTTCCTATGGCCCGTTTGACGATTCACCACCCTGTATAAGATTATTGTGTTCTATATATTTAAAATGATAATTTAATTATTCAATTAGCGTTTTGGATTTTTGTATTGTGTGTGAAAGACAAGTTACATTTTCCTACTATTCTTTATATATTTTTTTACGTTATATACTCTGGGGGGCTTTAACCCCCAAAACCCCCCTGGTTGCGCCAGAGGACAGTAGAACTGGATAGATCCTAGTGTAAGAGAGAAAGGGAAGTCTATATGGAAAAATGGACGGAAAAAGACACGATAGATGTGAAGATAATATCTGGATGAAACTCAGGAAAATTTAAATTAATTAACCTATTTAATAATTCTAATTTATTAGATAATGAAGAAAATCATTTTATATTTTTAATTACAGTTTTAATTTGGGTACACATTTTTAACAGAATGATTCAACCTTTTTCAACGTATTGCAGTAAATCCAACATCTGTCGAAAAACAACTAAGGTTTCTATTTAGCATTGACCAACCAGCATACTTTCACCTATTTCGAAAACCACGCCACTGATTCCCATGGCAATTATTGCAGCAACCAAAACTCTCCATTAACTTAGAAAACGATTAGCAGCCGGCAACGCTGTTAGCAGCGCAAAGCATCCACACACCGTACCAAGTGTGCCGTGGTCGAACTGTTTTGTACAAAGAATCGCAGTTACTGTGGCTTCAAAGATTGAAATCGACCAAATATAGTTGTCAACATCATCTAGTTGCATTGGTAAGTACCCACATGCAATTGTTCGTGGTTATTTCTCACACGTGTCTTCATTTGTTATGCGCAGGACCACCGTTTGTCGGGATGTAGAAGTGTAGACAAATAAAAATAAAGTATTTGTTAAGATTCGCTCCGGTTGATGAGGTAAAGGTTCTGTTTTTCGGTTTATTTTTGCCTACTCACCCGTATGTTTCATATCAGTTTGGTTCAACTTGTTGAATTCGAACTGCTAAACTTAGAATTTATCGGGAATCATTTTGTTCCTATTTTTGGCCAATTTTATACGGTGTGTCTTAATATTTAATCGCATACAAATTTTTTAATCTAGCTATTATTGTTGTACAAATATTGAGACAATATATTTTTTGTTTTTTTTTAATATCTGTCAACATCTTACTAAAATGTTTTTTCTAGGAGGATTGATATATGAAACATAATTATAAAACATTTTTCACATTGATAATAGACCTTTTTGAAGACTAAAGTTGTAATACATTTTGTAGTAAACACGTTCCTTGTACCCATACAAAGTTCAAGCTTCCACAGATTACTCGCTTTCGATTTCATTTGTATTTCCATTGTTTTTCTCAGCGTTTTAGTCAATTTAAATTTCTTTCGTCTTCCGTGGCATCTAAATCAGTGCTCATCATTTTTAATATTGTATCAGTAATATCTTGATAAACTGTAGACATCAAATTAAGATCTCATGAAGCGATATTGGTCAAATAACTAAATATATTCATGTATACAAATCACCATCATCATCATCATGCAACCTCTCCCGTCCACTGCTGGACTAGGTCTCTCCCAATTTTCGCCATTCTTCACGGTTCTGTGCTTCTTGTTGCCATATTAGATATTCGTCTAATCAGTGGCGGCCGTCTAATCAGTATTTCAATAAATAATTGTGGCAGGTAATCAGTTGATCAGTAATCAGTTTGTTTTTGCGAAATAAAAAAATATCTTTGAGATAATAAAGACTAAATTTTATTCATGGTTTTTAAAAGAATTCGACCAGACTAAATTTTATTCATGGTTTTTAAAAGAATTCGTCCAATCTGAGCGTTAAGTGATCCCTGCGTAGACACTTTTCAAATAGATTATTCGATATCGGAAACATTCATCCGCCTATGAATTCTTAAAAAGGCACGTTTTGTTTTTTCGGCTAGCCGATCCCAACCTTGCCTTTACTTGTAAAAATCAACGGAATATTGGTTCATTAGCAACCAAATATACATTTCTTTCCATATGGACTTAATTACCAAGTACGGCAAATTTAAATTTGCCGATGTTTCATTTGGATTGGTGATTGGTCGCGAACTGTACATTGTGAACGTGGGACGAAATGTTATTTCATATATGTAGTAAACTGAAGTGATATTCATTGCACGAACTAGCCTTTCTTTTTGTGATTTATTTTTATTTTCTAAAGTAATACTGTGATACGTTACGTCTGCCGTAAATAGTTAAAGGTTTTTTGACATATTAGAAGTTTTTTCTTAATTAAAGTGTAAAAAAATTCAGTAAACACCTAAAAAATGCAAGCCATGGGAGAAACTGTAAGTATTGATAAGTCTGATATTGTAAATTATATTTTGCATAATGGGTTTTCATCTATTCCATACGAAGAACAAATTGTTATTAAATATAAGGGGCGCCCTTTGCCTAAAATGTTCCTGCTTATAAATATTAGTGCGGGTAAGGGAAGTAATAGATCATTTTCAGATTATTGGTACAGCAAGTACTCATGGCTTACCGGGAGTGAAATAAAAAACAAACTTTTCTGTTGGCCTTGCATTTTATTTTCGACAAATAGGGGCAAACATCAAAATCCGTGGTGTGAATCTGGTTACGATAATTTAAAGGAATTATTTAGGGATTTACATAAACATGATATTTCGAAAGATCATACTTACAGCCAGATTAAATTAGATTTATTTGGAAAACCAAATATCCATGTTTCATTAGATAATGCTCAACGTGAAAATGCTATTAAACATAACGAAATTGTAAAAAATAATCACGCAGTTTTTTCGTCGTTTAATTGATATTGTATTTTTTTTTTAAGTTGTCAGGAATTATCTTTTAGGGGACACGATGGAGCATTCGTTAAATCAAGGTAATTATAGAGAACTAATAAAAATGTTTAAGAAATACGATTTGGAATTTTCTAATTTACTTTCTGATTCGAAGACATTTAGCGGTGTATCTAAAACAATCCAGAATGAATTAATAGAATCAATTAGTTACATTTTGAGTAACGTTATTGAATCTGAGATTCAGGAAACCATTTGCTTTTCACTAGAAGTAGATGAGACTACCGACATTATCATGTCATTCACATTTATCAATTGTTGTTCGATACGCGTTACGTGGTAATATCTATGAGAGATTTTTAGGTTATACAGACGTGGTAATACCTATGAGAGGTTTTTAGGTTTTACAGACGTGAGTAAAAGCCATAAGGCAGAACATATTTTTGGTGTTTTAAAGGACAGATTAAAATTTTTTTATATCAAAAATAAATTGGTAGGGCAAACTTATGACGGCGCTGTCGTGATGTCTGGTGAATTAAATGGTCTCCAGGCAAAAGTTAAAACTATTGCACAGCAAGCTTTATTTACTCATTGTCATGCGCTTAGAATGAATTTAGTTTTGCAAGATACGTGTAAAAAAATTAATGAATGTTATCTTTTTTTGCCAGTTTAAGCGGATTTGCTTCATTTTTCTCAAGCTCGCCTAAACGGACTAATGTTTTAGAACGGTTTGTTTCGAAAAAAATGCCAACAGTTTGTCAGACGCGATGGAATTTTTAAATCTCGGTTAGTTTTCACTGTAGCAAATTTTCGTGAACAGCTTTTGGAAGTTTTTGATTTTATTATTGAATGTGACGATTTTGAAAGTGATGATATCTCGATCCGTGAAGCAATCGGTTTGAAAACTTTATTAAATGATTACTCTTTTAACATACTTTTAAATATTTTTAAGAAAGTGTTTACCCAAACCGATTTGATATTCAATGTTGTTCAAAATCAGTTTACTAATACCAAGACTGGTGCAAAATCTCAGAGATTTATCGTAATGATAGTAATTTCCAGTATATACGCAGTGTCGTTTTGGACTCGCTTGACATTTCCGAACCCCCAAAAAAAGACAAAGGCATGACATAGAAACAAATCTCGAAAAACGAGTATATTTTGAAATTTTGGATACTATTATTATGCAAATAGATCTTCACCTTCTAGATCATAATCATTCTTTTAATGACAAATTAAAAATTCTTCACATTCAAAATAAAGGCCTTAAGCTATCTTTGTTAGAATCTATGGAAATCAACAAATTAAAAAACACAGATATAATTCTGAATGACCAACTTGAGACAAACAGTTCTCCCCTCCTCAATCTATTTCATTAGAGACTATAAATTGTAAACGCATGCCAAAAATAGATCACTTCAGAAAGGCAATCAGTCGAAACAGCTGTAGTGATAATAGTTAAAATAAATTTTGTGGAAGTTTGAAAACAAAGTTTTCAGTGTTTTATTGTTACATAAAATGAATTTCCATCAAGTAACGGTCGAATCCATCAAATATTTAAAAAAATTATGCAATTTTACTCAATCTTCGTAAAGTACTCTCACTGCGCTTTCTTCATATCGGCAGATAAATAATTTCTAACTGTTATTATAAGTGACAAACATATTGTAATTAAGTTACCAATGGTTACAAGGTAATTAAACCTACGCCACTGTTGCAACGTAAAATAAGCTAATAATAATGATGTGCATCATCTATTGCATACCGTTTGCCGCCGTTCAGATTAGAGTGAATCGGAAAATATTTTACAAGAACTTTATAAATCACAATCAGATGCACATGGAGAACACCTCTTTCTTGCTTCTTTACTTGATCTATTTTCAAATCAACGGCGGAACATCCGGTTTAGTTACGGGAAAATGTATTTATGTATTTGAGGTTGATGGAGATTACCGATTTTTGATGAAATCTTTTCTAAAAGTGGTTATTTTCAATTTTAGTTATTGGATTTCTTTATTGATTTTATAATTGGACATACCAAATATGTGAGAAATTTTAATTGTAAATTAAAAAACGATCATTATCGATAAAAATGATATTCAGCAGACGTGACAGGAAATCAGATGGGAGGACATTCAGAAACGATAAACAGGTGGATTAATCAAAAATTATATATATATATATATATATATATATATATATATATATATATATATATATATATATATATATTCGGTTTTATAACGTCTTACGACGTTGTCCGACTCCCAAACGTCACTGTATTCTGTCTTGAGTTAGGTCTTCGTCCAGATTTCGAGCGCTAATCGCTTTCCTAACTCCCAGGTTCCAGCTCTGTGGTGGTCTTCCTCGTTTCCTCTTCTCTGAGGATTGCCACATCATCGTTTTTTTAGGCAATCTTTCGTCCCCCATTCGGCTCACATGCCCATACCATATGAGCTGTTTTCTTTCAATATCCTCAACCATAGTGCCCTCTATACCCATTTGTTGTTTTATCACTTCATTCCGTATTCTGTCGGCTCTTGATATTCTCATCGATCTTCTGATGGCATCCATTTCCGTGGCTTCGACCTTTTTCTTATATTTCTCGGTTATTCTTCATGTCTCAGCTCCATAAAGTAGGCTAGTTTTAACCATTGTCTCATAGATGTTCCATTTTCTTTTCTTTGATATTTCTTTACTCCACAGAACTCCGTTCAAACATGCTATAGCTCTTCGTGCTTGTACAATTCGATGTTCTATTTCTCGTTCGTCTTTTTCCACTACGGTCGAAGATGACGCCCAGGTATTTATATTCGTCACATGGATTTATTTTTTGATTGTCATCGATATCGAGTTGTTCTGCTTCAGCTCCAATTGAGAGGTATTTTGTCTTTTCTAAATTGATATTTAATCCCCATTTCTGGTATTCTTCAATTAGTTTTATAAGCATGTATTCCATGTCGTCTTTGTCATTTGAGATCACCACCTGATCATCTGCAAACTGTAAAGTATATATGTAATCCTGATCGTTCAATTGTATACCCATTCCTTTGACTTTCCTTTTCCATTGTTTCACAGCTGCAGAGATATAAATCTTAAATAGAGTCGGAGAGATACAATACAACATTCTTACCTGAGACCCTTAGTAGCTGTAAATTTTTTCAGCTAAGAGGTTTCCGAATTTCATTTGGGAGTTTGAACCATAATATAGATCTTTGAGAGCACTAACCAATGTTTGATGTGCCCAGGACTTCCCATAGTTTATTTAGCGGGACTGTGTCGTATGCCTCCTCAAGATCTACAAAAATCATATGTAACTCTCTATTTGTCACAACTTTCTTTTCTATAATTTGTTTAAGACAGAAGATGTTATCTGTACATGAACGACCTGCTCTAAATCCTCCTTGTTCTTCGTCTTCGGACGATTGATAATCTTCCTCTATCAGGTCCCGTAATATTCGACCGTATAGTCGACTCATTGAACTTGTGACCGATATCCCTCTATAGTTTTTACAATTTCTCCTGTCACCTTTTTTATATATTGGGGTCATATATGCTGTTTTCCATTCATCTGGTGTTGAATGTCCATTAATATATTCGTTAAATATCACCGTGATCATTCTGTGTAATTTCTCTGAGCCATCCTTTATTAATTCCGTAGTTACTCCCTCTGGTCCACTTGCTTTCCCATTCTTCATCCCTGCTATAGCTTTTTGAACTATGTTGATATTTATGGTAATATGCCCTCCCAGAATTTCGATTCTTGATGAATTCATATTTTCTTTAAATTCGTCTCTGTTCTCATTTAATAGATGTTTGTAATAATGTGTCCAATCCTCGGGATTTATGGGATTTAGATTCACTTTCTCGTTAGTCAGCTTCTTAACAGAGTTTCTAAACTTCCACGCCTCAGTGCATTGTCGTCCTCCAATAAAGATTCTATCTCTCTACACCTTCTGTCCCATGTCTCATTTTTGGAGGTCATAATTATCTTCCTAGTTTTCTTCTTCATTTCATTGTATCGTTCTTTGTCTGCGTCATCTTTTGTATTCAACCACTTATGGTATAATCTTTTCTTTTCTGTTACCGCATTTTTGACGTCTTCATTCCACCAAAACTTGTTACTAATTTTATTTTGTTTGATTCCTAAGACCTCCTGTGCTGTTTGATGAATACTTGATATTATGTTCTCATATATGCATTTGGTATGTGTTAGTGTTTCGTCAAGTTTGGTGTTCATTCGATCAAAAATTAATTTATTTAATTTAGTTACTGGATGAAACTATAAAATTCGGAACTCCAGAAGACGATTAAGGAAGTACAATACTATCAAGAGAGAAACTAAAGTATATAAAAAATCTTAAAGAACAATATAATAAAAAGATTTATAGTTTTTTGTTACATTCATGATGTAGCGAATTTTTATAGGCAATATTTTTTTAAGTTTGTCACTTCAAACATTTCCTCGGGAACAATCGGATGGGCTTTTCCAAAAAGCAAACATTCTGGGCTATATCCGGTTAATGATTGATCTGTTTTATTGTATTCATCTATACATTCGTCGGCTATTTTGGTCCATGCTCTAATTCTGATTTCATTTTGTTTGCATCTTATTCCGTTCACTAATGTTTGATTACGTCTTTCGTTTAAGCCATTCGAGAATGGGCAGTCTACTGCTGTAAAGATTAATTGAATATTTAAATGTTTCATATGATTTGTAACTATTTTGGAATTAATTCCAGGATACTCTTCTGTTAATAATGTTTTTATGGGGTGTTTATCTTGAATTTTGGCAATTAATCCCATGATATCATCTTTCGTCTGATTTTTAGAAGTAACTGCAATCGCATGTCTGGTAAAGTGGTCTACAAGTGGAGATATTTTTTTGTTAAACGATTGCCTTCAAATCCTCCTATTGTATCTAAGGATATTATTTCGGAAATTTCTTGTGGCGGACGCAATTGTGACAAAAGAGCATATTTTGGACCTATTCTTATTTTATTTTTACAGCAGATCTCGCATTATTAGCAGATGTCCTTTCTGATAAATATTCTTAATATAGTAAAAATTTCTAATTTTGTTTGTTACTTTACCAGCACAAATATGACCATAAAATTTGTGAATTTTTGTTATTAACTCTATTCCAAAATCTTTGGATAAATTATTTTTTTTGTCATTGTTCCTTAATTTATAAAATGTATCTTGGTTCAAAATTGTTCCCCTTATTTTATCTGTCATCTGTCGATTCTTTTTTTGATCCTAATTTAACTGGGTTTAGTGTTCTTATAAATATTTCAGCATTTTATATTTTTTCCAAAACAGGGTTTTTAGAAAGGCAGTCGGCTTCTAAGTTTTCTTTTCCACATTTATATTTAATGTCGAATTCAAATTGTGAAAGAAAATTCTTCATATTATCTTGTACGAAGTTCTCTTCCCTCTAGGTGCTTATAATCAGTAATAACTACAATTTTTTTCATTATCAATTTCATTATCATTAGCAAGTAATGTTTTGTGAGTGCAGTGATGTTGTTCTTGTCAGAGTTGTGAGAATGAATTCTGGATTGAAGCAGTTGACTGGTTTGCCCAATATAGACATCTTATTACCAAAACTCAAAAAATCACATGTTGCATACGAGATACCATGTATTAACTGTGAAGGTGTCTATATTCGGCAAACCAGTCAACTGCTTCAATCCAGAATTCGTTCCCACAAATATGACAAGAACAACATCACTGCGCTTACAAAACATTGGAATGAGAAGACATCGAAATTTGACTTCGAAAATATCAAAATTTTAAAAACCGAGCAAAACAAAAGGAAAAGGGAGATATATAAATCAATAGAAATAAAAAGAAATACTAACGCAATCAATAACAAAAAAGATACACATATCCTAAATAAAATATATTTCTTAAAGTTATAACATATCTCCACACTGACATAAAAAGTGCTCCGCTGTTTCTTCTTCAAGGTGACAGAATCTGCACAGGTCATCATCTGATAATCCCATCAGCTTCAAGTGTCTATTCAGCTTATAGAGGCCTGATAGAAGACCTATCATAGCTTTGACTGTTTTCCTGTCTTTGTTTACTAGGTCTGCCGTAAATTTTTTTTCGAATGTTCTGTAATGAACTGTTTCGCCTAACTTTGTCCTGGTGAATTTCTCCGTCATTCCAGAGATTTGTGAGCTACCCACTTCCTTGTAGCTGTTCTTGTTGATGGCGTTGATGAGCCTTATTTGACCATTTCATCTGCTTTTTTATTGCCCTTATGACCTTCATGTCCCGGTACCCATGCTACGGTCTCATAGTTTATTTAGAGCACACACAATCCCATAGTAGCTTATAATTGACCTCTACGGAATTGAGTGCCTTAAGCGCTGCCTGACTATCTGTGAAGATGGACAAAACGTTCTTTCCTGTCTTTCTATTTCTTCCACGCAGTGATAGACTTACCGAGAAATGTATCACTTGATTTGTTTCTACTATGCCGGCTCTACACCTCATAATACAGGGTAAGATCGCCGAAAGAGAGGCCCAGGCCGACGAAGCACATCCCGGATCCGAAATCTCTTGTACCAGGTAGCAGCAGCTTGTTTGGGTACACCTTTATTCCATTGTTCCCTGCCTGGTATCTTAATTGTGAATTTATTGTTAAAGCTATATCTCGTAGCTGTTGTATCGATAGGTTGCCCCATCACAATATCGGCTTTTAGCTCCTAGATTAGTTTTCTGTTGTCACCACCATGCATTTGGCTTATATGTCGCTGACTATGGATTAATCTGTGCATCATTGATCTGGCTTCGCCCTGTATAAAGATATGAAGTGGGAAGTGGTGGCCTTTGTGTATTACCTAGCAGCCTTATTGCTCCCGCTTGCTGCGTCTTTCTCCACCACGTCATCGAGCCATAGGTTATCATGGGTCTAATAACCTTTGTGTATAACCATAGAGTTATTTTGACGTTATTATTTAGAGTTATTTTGAAGTCCCCAATTCTTAATCGCACATTCTTCTACATCTGCCCAGGGACGTAGTAGCTTTCTGTGTGGTTTTCAGAATGTGAGTATTCCATGTAAGCTTATGATCAAAATATACCCCAAGGTATTTTGTTTCTTTGGCGAATAAAATCTTTGTTCCTCCCAGCACCGCTGGTTTTAGTCCTTGTAGTGCTGTTTTTTGGTGAAGTTGACGATTTCTGTTTTCTGAGCATTGACTATTGGATAAACTACAACATTGGAGACCTTACGAAAGTAAACGACCAAGAGGAAGACCACAGATGAGATGGGTTGATGACATTAAAAGAATAGGAAGGAGTTGGGAGAGGCCTATGTCCAAACATGGACGACAGAAGGCTAAGAAGAAGAAGATAGCATTGACTATCAGTCTCTCTTGTTTACACCAGTCGTCAACTATATTTAGGGCTTCTTGTATTCTCTCAGACACAAACAAACCTACCCCTGACAACAATTGCTGTATCGTCAGCATATACTAGATAATAAAAGCATTCTGTGGACAGATTTCTGAGGAGATCATCTACCAAGGTTGCTCAAAGTAGAGGGGATAGAACTCCACCTTGTGGACAGTCTCCAACTACTTTTGCTTGATGGTTGCTTTAAAGAGTGGACATTACTTACTCCTAAGAGAGTATTGTATATGCATATTATTTTTATATATGTATTTGTGTTTCTTTTCTTCTTGTTTCCATCTTCCATTCTGCAAAAATCATTTGTCGTATCATCTTAATTGTGCATGCATATTGTCTGGCCTTATTATACATTTCTGTTTGACACCATACCCTATCATTTATGATACTATATGTATAGTTCGTATCACTATCTTACTCATGTTGAAGCTTCGTTTTTAAAATTAGTTTTACTATGATTCTTGGTTGGACTAGTGCTTTTTCTCATTATTTGAATTACTTTTCATGTCCGTATATGTTACATTCCATCATGTTTTCCTGGACCCCCAAAAGTCCCACCCAAAAATCTCTTTCATTTGTCCGACCTTGATAATTTCATGTTTTCTTCATATAATTTTTCTCTGTTTTCTTGATTAACTGCTACTTGTAATCCTTGTTTTTTAACTTTTATCAATTTTTAAAGAATTTATTTTCTATTGTCGCTTTTTATTACAGCTTTTTTACATTCTTGGATCCTTAATTGATTGATTTCGTGTTGTTAGACTGATTGGTTCGAATAAGTATTTTAATTATAACTTACTTTCTCACATATTTCTTTATTCTCTCAATTATCAGTTGTATAGAACATTTTGGTCTCAACGTCTGTGTTTAGGCTTCACATTATTGTAATCAGTTCATGTGTATTGCTAGTTGATTACAATATTTTTTTAATTATTTATTGATTGATTCAATACTTATTCTTCTTACTCACATAATGCATATATAATGAATACTATTGTTAAGCTAAAATCATCGCCTTTCGATCACATTTATCTTTACCTAATTTTTATCTTCGTCTCCACTACTGGATTTTACGTTTACCTTCTATAACGGGATCATCGCGGATGCCCTTGTACACTTCTCCCGTAGACCGAAACAAACACAAGCGGCATTTTAATTCCGCAACACAATCGCCGTAAGTGGGACGAGAAAGCGTTTTCTAAGCATAGGCAAAAGACCTATCAGATATATGTATATGAAAGGCGCACTTATTTATTGGACTTCAATATCAAAACTTTTTAGTTCAAAAGGGCTTAAAGTATCAAACTCTTTTGTGTATCAGAAATTAAAAAAAACATTATACGGTATAAAAACCAATATTCCTAATTAAATACACAAAAATAAACCTAAAAGTAACCTACGAAGTAAAAATATTATGACTGATATTAGGGTAAAGTGGGGTAATTGGATCGTGATTTTACAACAAATCTGCGTCCGGCTCGGATTTTTAGTTACCTAATGATCGAAGTATAAATATACGTTGACACATGGAGACCTAACAAAAATTTTTTTACATTGTTGCGTGTCCTTGTATCCTTAGAAAGGACATGGGGCATATATGTCCCATTAGTGTTGAATGGTGGGATAAATAAATCCCATCAGTAAAGAAGTAAACTTATATTCAAAATGAAAAAAGGTACATTATACAAAAAACATTACTTCTTATAAATGATGTGGTAAAAAACAATTTTTGCATAGAGGGACATTGCACCCTGTACAAATAGTCGTAGTTCGAGTTTCTGATTTATTTTTTCATCTAAAGCACCTTCTCCTAGT